CATGCTACCATTATTCAATATTAATGCACTTCTTTTCACTCCGCCGTGATGAAAGATGGATCCTACAAACTCTCCGAACCAACTGAGAAAAGAATTTTTGATCTATTAACAAATTCATAATATCACAGTGTGGCTCTAGGAAATTTTTTTTCATAGTTGGATACGAATACATTCATTATAAATGTGGACTGCATATAAACTAGAGTGTTTGAAGCTTTACAGTATGGATGTGGATCATAGAATTGATGGAATTCATAGGTTGACTTTATTTCACTATGTAGTATTATTTAGTAGTTATAATTTCTTTGAAATGCTTAACATGTGTTTATGTGTTTTAACATTATGATTTAAAATACATTTGTGGGCCGTACAGCGTTCATATAAAACTCACCCTTGAAACATGCATTCAACAGATTTACACAGAGAGATGGAATATAAAAAACACATCTCGATGTTTTTTAAAAGTTGAGCACATTTCTTGAACACTTTGTCATGCAAGATGCAACAAAAGACGTGAGACACGAGTGCGACTGTGAAAGACATGCGGTTTACATGAGTTCTGTGTGAATGGACGATGTGTGTTTTAGGCCAAATCCTTGAGACAAGTTATTATTTTTGCACTTCCAGTCTTCAGAAGTTAATGGGTTTGTTGAATGAATTTTTAGATCAGTGCCTGAAATACACAAGCTCAAGATATTTTCATGTTTAACTCTATGACAAAATGCATTTTATTATTATTATTTTACTTTAAAAGGTCTTAACAAGTGTGGTACTCCAGAGGTTGTCAGAGACATTAAACGTCACTGAACAGGTAAACTAAAGCGTAATGGTGGTAATGTTGAAGTCATTTGTCCGTGGTTTATTCCCTACCTTTAGCTTTGTTATGTCTGCCGACTGTGTTCTGAAAATTGTGTTAATTTCTGAATATTATCGTGATGAACAAAATGTGTAGTAATCATAAACTTTTGTTGATCACAGAGCTTATTTTCTGCAATAATCCAAAGCCAATGGAAAATATTGGGTTTTTGTTGAAGGAACCAGCATGATGCAAACAGACTGGCCCACAAAAATACATCATCACTGTAGTGCTCTCTTCCAAAGAAGACTTTACAGAAGTGTAAGCCTCAAGAGGAATAACAGTCAATTTTATATGGTTACTTTTATGAAGTGAGACATTGATCACATATACGGCTGACAAACGCAAACTAACGACACGGCTTGTGTGTCCAGTTAAAATAAGATCGCAAGACCCTGTCTGCGTTCTTTTAGATTCAACTGTTTTAGAAATCATTTTAATGCAGTTAACATTTTAATGCTGCATTAATTGTTCAAACTACTCACTCCAGTGTAATTTTAGTATCACTGGGATACTATTATAGTATAATTTTTTATTTTACTTTTTCATTTTAATTTTTAAAGCTTAAGTAATTTGATAGTTTTGTGATTTTTATTCCTTTATTATTATTATTATTATTATTATTATTATTATTATTATATACTTTAAGCTTTTGTGATTGTTTATTGATTGGTTGGTTGAGTTTTTTTATTTATTTATATATATATATAGTTTTTATTTTATTTATTTTTTCAGTTTTAGCTTAATTATAGTTTAGCACTGCACATCAAATTAGAGAAATAAGAAATGTTGGCAACTAGCTAAAATAAAATGTTATAGTTTTAGTTAAATATAATAACCCTGAATCACACACACACAAGCAAATAGGTAAGTAAGTGAAACACACAAATCTTTCTGAATATCAATGAAATCACACCAGTTTATTATACTGTATATACATCAACTTCATCAACAACTCCTTTGTTCATTGCACTTTTTCTGTAAGGAAATGTAGAATAAAAGCAGGAATAGTCTGAAAGCAATGCAGCCGTTTGTACACACCCGTAAATATCTATCATTCAGTCTTACGCTAGCGTTCTGCTACTTGCGCTGATGCTGATCCGATCTGATAAACACGGGACCTGGCTCCCTAACACTCCTCGTACATGATTCTGAAACTTCCTTCCCAGAAAGGTGTAAAGCACAGGGTTAATGCAGAAATACAAGCGTGCAATGTTACTAGTGACGTACTGTGCGTACAGAAGGCTGCTATTACACTGTGTCGGATCTTGATTATCGTTTATCATCAGTATGATGTTATACGGGCTCCAGAATGCGAAAAACGTCAGGACGATGATGAAAATGAGCCACACGGTCCGATGTTTGCCTACCATCCGCGTGGCCAGGACGGTCAGCGTTATCCTGAAGTAGCAGTAGACGAATGCAGTCAACGGGAGAATAAAAAACAACACAAACTGCTTATAGAGACTGAAGACTCTCCACTGAGCATCGCTGGAGTCTTCACACACCAGTCCTTCCATCGGGTACTCTTCAACGGTGAAATGGATGAAGGGTTGGAGGCTGGCGAGGATGCTAATGATCCAGACGACTGCAGACAGTACGACAGCGTAGCAGCTTCTGCGTCGTTTGTTGGCGACAACGCAATGCACCACGGCCAGATAGCGGTCGAACGTCATGAGGGTGAGGAAGAGGATGGAGCTGTAGAAGCCCAGATAGTCTGCGCTGGTCACCAGCTTACACAAAGCTTCTCCGAAGGTCCACTGGTCCGAATGGTGAATGGCTTGAAATGGGAGCGTGAGGGTGACGATGAGGTTGGAGGCAACCAGGTTCATGAGGAATATATTTGTGACCGTGTTGAGCTTTTCGAACTTGTAGAGGACGAGCAGAACCACTCCGTTGCCCAGTACACTGGCGATGAAGATGACGTAGTAGAAGGGTGGAAGAAAATGTTGGCAGAAATTGTTGATGGCGATGGTGTTGCACTGAACGGTTCTGCTGGTCATCAGCGAATAGTCTTCATAAACGTCTGGTGTTGTGTTGGGCGTTTCCATCTTGGTGGCTACCAACAACCTGCGGGGTTGAGCGAGTTTATTAGAATTAAAGGCTGGATAAATGTGACCACGGTACACTACACTTTATTTAGTCCACTTTAGACATTCTACTAACTATAAGTAACTTTGCAACTAATTCTCATTAATTTGCAACTAAATGTCTACTAACTCTCTTAGAGTGGACAGTTAGGTTAGGTTTAGGGTTAGTAGAATAAATTGAGATATAATTGCAAAGTTTCTTATAGTCAGTATGTTGTGGACCCATCAAAATAAAGTGTTAGAAGATATTAAGCAGACAGTTTACTAATACTCTAATGACTGCTAGTTGGCATGTAGATGCATGTTACTGTTAGTAGAATGTCTAAAGTGGACGATCAAAATAGTGTTACCATAGACAACAATACATTGTATGGGTCAAAATTATAAATTTTTCTTTCATGCCAAAAATCATTAGGATATTAAGTAAAGATCATGTTCCATGAAGATATTTTGTAAATGTCCTACCGTAAATATATCAAAACTTAATTTTTGATTAGTAATATGCATTGCTAAGAATTTCATTTGGACAACTTTAAAGGTGATTTTCTCAATATTTTGAATTTCTTGCACCCTCAGATTCCAGATTTTCAAATATTGTCCTATGCTAACAAACCATACTTTAATGGAAAGCTTATTTATTCAGCTGTCAGATGATGTATACATCTCAATATCAAAACAAATTGACGCTTATGACTGGTTTTGTGGTCCAGGGTCACAAATGATTAGAAGTCAGTAGAGATTTGTAGACTTACCCCAAAGCCCTGTTCACAGCTCGTCTGGCCGGTTCATTAATAGAAACTACGGTCTTGTAAGATGGAGCAGCAGCAGAGGATGTGTGTCAGTCTACAGCTGCAAAAATCTGAATCATATCTTGAAACTACTTCCTCTTTATGTGACTTCACAATTTTCTCAAGACTCGACGTGCGTTTGAAGCCGAGACAACATACATGATCGCTGTCCTGAAACCACAGACCAACCACAAAGTGTTCATTACCTTTTATTTCAACAAAGTCATTCTTAGCAAATACTAGAGCTCTAAAAGATAAATTACTTACGTCGTAAAAATTTCCCAGAGATTTGTAAAAAAAAAAAAAAAAAAAAAAGTTATATGAAACTAAATGAAAATACAATGAGTGAATAAAACAACAGATTAGAGTAAAGGATTATAGAAGAAAAATGTGATATCAGTTTATTCAAGATTTCATTGGAAGAAAATATAACAAGCATTTTGTATGGATTCACAAAAACAATATTTAAAATAATTACATCTTTCAGATGTTTATCTCGTACCTTATACAGCTTAAATACTTTGCCAAGAGAGAAGAATAAAATACATTTTGAGTTCATGAACACACATAAAATTGAATAGTTTTTATTATAATGGTTTGTGTTCCTTTTATTTAATGGTTTTATGTTTAATGAGGTTAGTGTGAATTTACCTTCCCTTCAGGCAGTGCAAAAAAATAAAAAGTACATAAATACGTAAATAATGCAAAAACAATTGCTATTTATTAAATCAACCTAGCCAGCAATGTAAAGCACAGTTAGTAATTCAATTAAATATGAAAATATGATGGCTGTTGTGTCTTAGAAAGCTGTCCAATCCACGATTCTCAGCCAAGTACTGGGGAAATCAAAACTAAAGTCATCTTTGTGCCAAAAACAAACAGAAACATTAAGCTTTTCCCTTTCATGTCTGTCCCTGAAGTAATAAAGCCATTTATTCTTAATCTTCATTAGTACCAAACCACATACAAACTAATGCTTATATTATTGCATCTCATATCATGCAGCAAAAGTTCCTTGTTTGACAGCAAAATAGTTCATTCATAATTCATATTCATAAGTAATGGTGATAAATATTAATGTTTATGACACATTAACATCTATCCACATTAATAGGCTTGTAGTATTATTTTGCAAATGACTTAATGCATGCACCCTTGCATTAATGGTGTTACGCACCAACTCTTCGTGCATCGGAAGGCAGGTTTCACATCGTTCATCTACAGGCCCCTGATGTTTCATTGCACCATAGCAATGCACAGACAACGTCCAAAGCCATGTGAGTAAATTCCTCTGGATTCTCTGCGGCGCTTCTGGCAGTCCGAGAGCTGAGCCCATGTGTTCGCTCAAGCGCGTGTGTTAGAAACCGGGCCCTTTGCTGTAGCGCTCATCCCTGAGGTTATAGGATTGGTAGCAGATGGACATGTCGCACACGCCAGCCGGCCCTGTAGAACCTTGCTTCCCCGGGATGCCCGGAGCCCCGGATTTACCCGGGATTCCCGGAGGACCCGGAATACCAATGCCATCACTGCCGCGAGGACCCTGGATCCCTGTTGGTGTTGAGGGAACACACAATCTGACAGTTACACAAGATTCCTCCCCAATCGCTGCATATACGTTTGTGCCATAGGCATTACATTAACCCTTACAATGCATTCAAAATCTGTATACTATTTTCTCATTTGAAGTCTGTTTGGACCAGAAGAATCATTATTTTATAAAAAACAGTTATAATGTAATATTTAAGTATTTCATTTCTGTTCTGATATCGTAACTTCTTAATAATGAGTGAATGTGGGGGAGGGAAAAATCAGTTTTGAATGTTACCATGTTATTACTTCATTTATTTAATTACAAAAAAATGAGAAATTCTTTTGAAATGTCAAATTACATATGAACCAAAAAAAACAATGGTGTGTGTGTGTGTGTGTGTGTATATATATATATATATATATATATATATATATATATATATATATATATATATATATATATATATATATATATATATATATATATATATATATATATATATATATATATATATATATATATATATATATATATATAGTATATCACATTAGATATATGTCATATCAGTATTGGAATGTATGGAATTTAATTAAGTTAATTTGAATTTATTAATTATTATTTATAATATAATTTATTATTGACTTATAATTGCAGAAAAACTGTCCAAATTTATAAAACCTAAAAATGCATTTCTTTCCAAAAATACATAAATAAATAAATAAAAATGTCATGCTACAATGGTTCGACAAAAAATATATTCATGTTAAACAACAAAATTCCGTCCAAAAATTGTGTGAGATATGGGGAATAAACATATTATCAAAAGTTTTTGTAACACTGATTTACTTTATAAATACTTTTACGGAAAGTATTTTTGACACATTATGGTACCCCATAAATATCTGGGTCTGACCAGAACACAAAAGATTTTTTTTTTTTTTTTTTTGGCTACATCTCTTGTAAAAATAAATAAATAAAACATCTGAAAAGGGTAGTTTCATTCCCTTACTAAAAACTATGTTTTATTATGTATCTCTTTTGGATCAAAACGGACCTGAATGTGTTATGAGGATTAATAATATAGTAATGTCATTGTACCTGTGTCTCCAGGAGGCCCTGGGTATCCTGGTCTGCTCTGTCCTTTATTGCCCTTAAATCCCTGAGGGCCTGTGTCCCCTACAAGAGTGCCAAGCATGTTACGCAATTACAATACAAACCCAAAGCCAAATCCATTTACATAATCTGGAAGTGTTACAGCCAGACGCCTCTGTTACCTTTGACTCCTGGAGGTCCTTGGATGCCCGGAGGCCCAGGGTAGCCCTGAGCGCCGTGTCTGCCGGGATAGCCCTGGGGCCCGCTGGACCCTTTAGGCCCTGGAGCTCCAGGGGGTCCCGGGGGTCCTTTAACGGTCTCACAGGGTTCACAGCGCTGAGGGCTCATTGTCTGCAGTAGCTGCGGCAGCTGATCTGATAGAGAGGCATTACATTAGAGATTACTGAACACCGACGGATGCGCAAGGGGGCATATGATGAGAAATCAAAATTTCCTTGACCCTCACTGTAATATAAAAACACAGACTAGCAACATTCACCCAATCTATTTTCATATGCATCTTATTGCACTATAAGTGATTCATCCATGCATTTAAATGCAAACAAATTTTAATCCAAATCTCTGGGAGTTCTACAAGCATGCATTTAGATCTTCCTCCATCCAGTCAATGACCGGTAGACAGAACAACACCCTACTTTTTTTTTTTTTCTTGCTAATCCATTTCTCTGTTATACATCATAATGTGGAAGAAAGAGTCTATCACTAATTATGTTGCATCAATGCTTAATGTTTGGCATCAAATTCATGAATATACCACTGCATTTACATATCAATGATGCAATGCCAAAACATGTCCAGTTTAATTCTAAGAGTTGGAAAAGGGAAGGAAATGGTCATAAGAAAACTCATGAGACTCTTTTGTGACAAAACAAGAAATGTGACTAATACTGCTGTGTTCCAGGAGTCAAGGGAAGTAAAAATAAATACAAAGTGGTGGACAAAGCAACGGAAAAGTTGGTAGTAAAATATAATTTAGTCAATATTGAAACATAAATAAAAATTAGTTCACTGAATGTTTATATACTGTATATATGGTATGTATTTTTGAATCCAGGTCATTTGAAAACAAAGTGAAACGTCCAGTGAGTGGTGCTAAAAACACGTTTTGTTTTATCCAAAACAGATCAAAGTGAATCTGGTAATGTTTTATTGCGTTGGTCATTGTATGTGTGGCAGCAGATTGAAAAATTTAAAGTCTGGTGCGTGTCGCTAAAAGGTTATTGTTCTGTCACATTTGAAAATAGCATAAAACCTATACTAAACCTAACCCATAGCGTTAACTAACGCCAACATGAGATAAAAACATTTTAAGCTTGATAAAAGTTTTTGAGCTGTTTTATCATGACTCATATTTCATGGGACGCACCAGCGTAATGCTGTACCGGGTGCGCTACCGAGCAAGTTTACTCTGTTAGAAAAGCTAAACATTTGGAGCTGGTTATGTGATGCAAACATCAAAATGTTTTAGTTAACAAATTGTGCACTATGGTACAAGAGTTTTGAGCTCATAACATAGTACTGGGCAAGAAACTGCGTGAAAACAAGTCTTTATTAATTGATAATCTGCCCCATAATCAAAATGGTGTGAAAAGGAATAAAGGTTATTGGTGTTGTACTGTCACTAGTGTTCCTTTCACGTGGAAACTAGAGTTAATTGTATACATGTTTAGACATGTAGAGGCCTGTTTTCTCAATAAGTATGTTGGTATTTTTATTTTAATTAGATTCATTACATCATACATCAGCTAATCTTCAGCTTGTTTGCCATTAAACATTCACTTTGGATTAATCTATTTTTGGAGTTTACTCTGCATAACAGAAGTCAGTGACGATTCTGTTTCTAATTCATTTCTGTGGTGCCAACAAACAATTCAACTATAATACATCTCCTACATCAGTGACGTCAAGGCTATAACATGGTTGGTTATCGAGAAACACGTGATTGGAATTGACCGTTGACTCCATTGGAGAGGTTGTCATCTCCTCATGATAAAAAAATAAATAATCTCTGGAGTTGCTGTCAAAGTACAGTAGAGCATTTCAGATCAGTCAGTTTTAAGTCTCTGTGATGGTTAGGCCGCATGTAGACAATATGCTGCGAGGAAGATTTATAAATGGACCACTGGGAAAAAAAAGTAAAATGCTAAGAGAATGTACGACATGACCCCTTTAATTCAAAGCAAACTGTAAAAACTCTGATAGCTCAGCAAGTTTCCGTAACAAAAGCTCCTTTCTAGTTAACTTTGCTTTTATCTAACAGCTTTAATTGGACGCCGCATGCTATTCTCGGCTCTTTACGTATCAGGCTTGTTCGTATTAAAAAAGGGAAAAGGAAAAGCTCCTTGGGCTCTTTGTTCTCGAGAGAATAATGACCTTGAACAAGGTCAGATACTCACTTCTCAAAATGTCCCCACAGAGTTTTATTAAGTACTCCTCTGAGGGAGGCTTACCCTGAAACACATATCGAGTCACTCATTAGATGGCGTCGCTACATGAAAAACACATACAGCTTTCAAAGAAGTTAAAGGCTTGACAGATAACAAAGGAAGAAGCATAAGAAAGGAACTCAATTACACAGTCTTGACCATAAGGCCTTGTGGTTTCTTTCATGAATCAGCTGAAATGATGCGTCCTGACATTGCCCCAGCCCATGCCGTATACTTCGTTCATGACGTGTTTATTTCTTGTGAAAGGAAAGACCTGGTGGCTATAACAAAAATGTTAATTGCTATCGTGTAGTTGTGAGAAATGTAAGAATACTCACAGGCTTCCCTGGAAAGCCCGGAGCGCCGGGAAGCCCTGGCAAACCGTCCTGACCGGGGAATCCACGCGACCCGACTACACCCGTGTGTCCCAAGTCTCCCTTCTGTCCGTCACGACCTTTGACCCCGCTCTCACCCAGCGTGCCTTTCTAGTAGATTCCAAACAGCACACTTAAAGCCTACTGCATGCTTGCATTTATATTCTCCATGCAAGTGAGACACAATTAATGAAATTAAAATAATGATGTGGCCTTGCATGATTACTGAATTGTGAAAAGGTGGCGTATTAAATTAACGTATCATTAAAATACATTGTGTGCTGCTCTGTTCATACTCCAAGCATGCTTACTCTAAATGTGGTTTGCTTATGTATGCTTACATGGTTTGTGAATGCATTTGCATATTTTTTTCTGAAATTTTACAGAAATATAATATATTAACTATCAATGAATCTATCTATAATATACAGTTTTTAGTATAGTATTTAATAATATTTAGAATGTGCTTTAGTTATTTTGGTACTCAAACTTACATTTTCAGTTAGTTGCCAAGGCAGCTTTTGTCATTTTCATTAAAATGTTTAAAGCTTTTCATCTGATAATATGCCACCATATTCAAATAGACTGAAAAATAAATTAGATTTGAATGCGTGTTGTTGAGCAGCAGTATGAAATGTTAAATGTTTTTCACATCAAAGATTAAATCACAAATCAAAATATTTGTCAAAATAATCACAATATGACATTCTGAACAAATCGTGCAGCTCTAGAGTGGAGCAAATATACAGTACAGAAATATTTAATAAACACGTTCAATTTCTCTGGAGAAACAATACATTCTTTTAAAGGAAGCGACTGATTTGCATATGTCTGCTACTGATTTGCCCACGAACACAAAATAATAAATATACATAGGAAATTTCTTCTAGTTTACAGGGCAACCAGTTTGCCGGTTTGCTCTGACAGCACGCTGAAAGCAGCTTAGTATAACTGTCAAGCTGTCAAATGTAAACACTTTGTGGACGACATGCTTCAAAGCGCTCAGAAGTGCTCTGCTGTCCCATGTTCCTTCCTTCAGGAGGCGGAGATGCTCTTATTTCTTGTGTAAATAGCAGGAATGGTTTAAATGTGAGTGAGCCGTGTTATTCTACACACCTCTCCTTTGCTGCCTCTGGGTCCCACTTCACCCTGGTTCAGGAGGAACGAGAAAGATAAAATCAGAGAGAGAGAGAGAGAAAACCTGTTATTAAACACACAGACAGGCTCAATATTCACAGCGGCGAACAGAAGAAAGCTCTTCAAAGCCACAGACAGGGAAACCCTACCAAATGATTCTCAAGCCCTGTGTGTGTTTGCAGACTGAATCACGTAAAGACACGTCAACAGAAGCTGGACATTTCACTGTCGGCACATCGGACGGTTCAGACTACAATAATGTGTACGAGTTCACACAGGCAAGCACTTGAGGGTTTTCCTAATAACAAGCTACTTTTTGTAAAGTGTTACAAAACTCTATTGATTTTAGTCACATTTTATTGTGTATGCAATTTTTGTGCCATATAGATACTACTCTGATTGTAGATGTAAGCTACATAAACAGTTAGTTATATATTCAAAAATATATTCATTCCTCAATGTCTTTGCCCATATGGAAATGTAATATATTGGCCAAGAGAAATATTGCCATAAATATTACCTATAAGACATATAGCTTTTACATGTATATTCTCTGCGT